TTTGTAGGAAGAAAGGAAGGGGCCGCCAGGACCTCATGACTTGCTTTCTCTCTCTCTCTCTCTGAGTCTCTCTCTGGGCAAATTAAAAAATAATAATAATAAATAATTCTTTGGAGAAAAAAAAAAGTAAGGACAGACATTGCCTTAAGATGGCTCTCCGGGACCATCTCTGGTGAGTGACACCTGAGCTGAGAGCCCCACCTGGCCAGCGTAGTTGCTTAAAGGTTGATTGTAGTGGGGGACCAGCAGTTAGCGTAATGGCTATGTCGCTGGACTCCCACGTAGTCCACCACGGTTTGTGTCCCGGACCTCGTGGCTTAAACTCACGCCGGGCATGTGTACGTGCGTGCCCAAGATCCCGAGAGGAGAATGGAGGAGAAGGGATTGTGGCGTGACCATCCCCCCTGGGGGGTGATTTCTCACTTTCTATCTCTCTGTCTCTCTCTGTCTGTCTAGCGAGCGCACGCGCCCTATAGCAAAAACCTCTCCAAAAAAAAAAAAAAAAAAAAGATGGATTGTAGCAGGAGTGGGTGGGGGCCGGAATAGAGGTGAGGTGGGACTCAGATGCCCCTGGGACCCCCTGAGGACTGTCCCTGGGGGCGGCAGTTTGTGGGGTTTGCAGGTGGATTACTGAAAGACAAGGGCCCGCCCCGATGGTCAGCTGGAAAGTCCAGGCGGTGTCCTCACCAGATGGCGTCCTCACCAAGCGCGCTGGCTCCAGGGCACCTGCCCCTCCCTGGGCCTCCCTGGGCGGGCCGCCTGCTCTGACTCCTGGTCCTTGTCCCTTGTCCCTGCCCCAGCTGAACATCCACGTGGGCAACATCTCCCTGGTGGACCAGTTCGAGTGGGACATGTCGGAGAAGGAGAATTCCCCCGAGAAGTTCGCCCTGAAGCTGTGCTCGGAGCTGGGGCTGGGCGGGGAGTTCGTCACCACCATCGCGTACAGCATCCGGGGACAGCTGAGCTGGCACCAGAAGACCTACGCCTTCAGGTAGGGCTGCGTGCGGGTCTCTCCTGCCTCCTTCCTCTGCACACCCGTGTTGGGGGAGGCTTCACGCGTTTGGTGATGCCCTTCACGGCTTCCTGGAGCTTCCCGGTCCCGTCACCCCATCTCCCCGGCATAGGTGAGTCAGGAGCTAAAGGGGTGGCCTGTCTGGGGCACTCAGCGGGGCCCTGCTGTGGACTCAGGGTGGCCTGTCTGGGGCACTCAGCGGGGCCCTGCTGTGGACTC